GACTGTGGAAACTGAACAGATTCTGGAGTTTGAAGCTGAAGACAATACAGAAGTCGAGGAGATGTCAGAATCTGAGGATGTTGGTGAGCAGATTTATTTCATCACATTTGTGTATAGCCATCCATCTCGCATAAAAGCCACTCTGGATGCTGACAAGTTGTAGAGTGCTAAAGCACAGCTGGAGCAAAGTTTGGCTTATTAGATACATTTCAAACTGATTAATATAAGAAATTGATCTTGGGGGAGTCAATTTAGAAATTAATCTTACCCTGAATCAGTTCCCTATGTTGAGAGCTTCATTCTTTTAAGGCTTCCAAGGTTGGGCTTCAGAAAGTATCCCCTTCTCCCAAAGCGTAACTTCTTCCCACATTATTCCTCACATCATTTGAGTTTCTCCAGCAGGCTTCTTTCTAAGTTTAATAAAGCAAGTGATTTTAATGTGAATGCTATAAAATCCAGCCCTTTACAGATAATCCTTGACTTGCAGCCGTGTGCCTAGTGCCTGTCTAGGAAGTTAACAGTGGCACTAAAAAAAGAGACCTGTGGCCGTTTTTCCACACTTAACAACAGTTGCCGCATCCTCATGGTCATGTGATTGAAATTTAGACTTCTTGGCAACTGACTCCTATTTATGACGGTTGCAGTGTCCTGGGGTCACGTGCTCCTCCTTTGCAAGCAAAGTCAATCCAAAAGCCAGATTCACTTAACAACTCTGTTACTAACTTAACATCTGCAGCCATTCACTTAACAGCTGTGGCAAGAAAGGCCATAAAACAGGGCAAAATTCACGGAACGAATGCCTCACTTAGCAAGAAATTTTGGACTTGATTGTCGTTGTCAGTTGAGGGGTACCTGTAGTCATTTGGGGGTTATCTGTAAATGAGATGGAAGCCCCGCCCTAGAAGTTTCATGTGTTTGGGGGAAATGACATGAGATCCCACCTTTCTTTCTCTCTCAGAACCAACTGGCAGTACACCAGCCTTTGTCCGCGCTAAAGCTTTTCACTGTACGCCACTGCTGTCCAGCCCACGCGTATCGAAAGAAGTGGCTTCTGGGTATGTATGCAGTTTTAGGGAGATGGACCTCTAACCCCCTAACCACTCTGTATTTAGAGGCAGACCTCCACTTCCAACAGTTCATTTAGTGCCTGGTTCAAAGTTACAACGGCAGTGAAAAAAGTGATTTCTGACTGTTTTTCACACTTACAACCATGGTCACACCTCTAAATTCAAAGACGTTTGGCAAGTGCTTTATATTTATGATGGCCGCAGTACTCCAGAGTCACACAATCCCCATTTTGCAAACTTCTGGCATGCAAAGTCAATGGGAAAGCCAAATTCAATTCATAGCCGTGTGACTAACTTAACAAATGCCCCACTGTGGCTTATGAGCGATGATTAGAGTGCAGTGCTGCAGGCTGCTTCTGCTGCCTGCCGGCTGCCTGCAATTTGGCAGTTCAAATCCCACCAGGCTCAAGGTTGACTCAGCCTGCCATCCTTCCGAGGTGGGTAAAATGAGGGCCCAGATTGTTGGGGGCAATAGGCTGACTCTGTAAACCGCTTAGAAAGGGCTATAAAGCATTGTAAAGCAGTATATAAGTCTAAGTGCTATTTCTACTAACAAATGCAAGGATTCACTTAACAACCGTGGCAAGAAAACTGGTAAAATGGGGCAAACTCACTTAACAGATGTTTCACTTAGCAACAGAAATTTGGGGCTCAATTGTGATAACTCGATAACTACCTGCGTTATTTCTTAAATTTAAAACTTAAAACCCCTCTTGCAGTTTCAGTTGACTTGAATGGCTTACAATATAGTAGATGGTGTGGTTGCCAGGAATGCTTTGCCTTGCCTCACTCTTGACTGCCAGAGAAAAAGAACTCCAGCCTCCCGTGACTGGCATTCAGACCCAATACAGGGTTTAAGATGTGTGGATTCTCCAGATTGTTGGCCATGCCATCTGGAAGTACCTAAGAGGTGGCCTTCTGCAGCACCTGGGTTTTCTCTTCCTGCAGTAGATTATGTGATTGTTCAGACCCGTGATGGCGAACCTGTGGCAGACGTGGCACAGGTGGTACACAAAGCCATTTGTGTCGGCACGCGAGTTGCAGGCAAATTTACCTCACTGCACATACATGGGCCTCACAGCTGATTTTCAGCCCATTTAAGGCCTTTTTCAGCCTTCCAGAGGCTTGAGGAAGGCTTCTGCAGCCTTTGCAGGCCGAAAAATAGGCCCATTTTGTCACTTCCTATAGAAGTGCAGAAGCCTTCCTCAAGCCTCTGGGAGGCCGAAAAAGGCCTCAAACGGGCTGAAAATCAGCTGTGAGGCACAGTGCAAGTAAGGGGGCAGCGGGGGGCGCGCGTGCATTACCTTCTGGGTGCTGGAATGTGAACGCACTCGAGCGCACACACAATTTTTGGCACAGGAGCCCCAAAAGGTTAGCCACCACTGGTTTAGACCGTCTTTTTGATATTTTTCTTTTTAGGTCGCCGGTGAAACAGAATTTGGTTCAACGGGTTCCAAAGCCAGCTAAAAAAGCCCGCCGGGAAAAACAGGAGCCGTCCCTCCCCAGCACCTTGGTGAAAAAAATGTTCACCCACTACGTCAAGATGCCAGTAACCAAAGAGGCGTTGCAAGTTGTGGATAGGTGGTGAGTCATGGCAGTTGCTGCTTTTTAGAGAAAAGAGGCTTGCCAACTACCCCTGAGCGAAGAGAAAAACCCCAAATGTGTGACGCTCCCTCCTTCGGTGATCATGCCTGGGTTTCATGCCAAGAGACTAATCTGCTCACGGGTATTGAATGGCAATCAGACCTTTTGGGTTTCTTTCGGGGGGTGTGTGTGTGTGTCTTGCATTGCAACCTGCCTTCCACGGAGAAGGGAGCGATGCTCGTTACTCCCCCGGCTAACTTTAGGCATCCCGTTTTTGTAGCGTGAATGTGTACTTCAAGCATCTGAGCAACGACCTGGAAGCCTACGTGAATCATGGTCGACGGAAGACAGCAGAGCCGGCTGACCTGGAGCTCCTGATGAGGCGGTAAGGGGTGGGGTGGGGTTGCAAGGTCTCTAGGGCCCTGCATCGACTGAAGACGGTATTTCCGTGGAGGCTTCCCCACCCACGATGCTCTTCAGATGTTTCGGGGGCGAGAACTCCTAGCCAGTCCAGTTCTTGGGAATTCTGGCTGTCATAAACACAACGTATCCGGAGAGCACCAGGCTGCTGGTGGTGGTTCTTAAGACTCGAGGAGGACTCTTCTCGGCTGTTTCCTTGCTGCTAACATTATGGGTAGGAGATGTAATGTTTCTCCACTCTTTGCTTTCTTGAGAAACAGCTGGAAAAACGGTTGAGAAACTAGCAGAGAAAACTGTTGAGTGTAGAATTGTAGTATTTAATAGCAAAGAACATACTATAGGAATAGAGGTAGTGTTCTGACCAAGGTTTCCTGGGACCCTCATAAGCACATGCTTAGTCCAAACAACTCTGGTTTTATTTCAGCGCTGGGAATTATGTTCATTCCCAGCCTGTAATGAGTCCCAAATAGTCCCTCGAGATAAGCACCCACCTTTATCTTCTTTGAATTGCTGCCAACAACTAAAGTGCCAAATGAACTGTAAAAAAACCAACCGAAGTACAAGGTTCAAGGTTTAATCAGAACAGAGCGAACAACTTTGCTTCCTGCAAAGGTTTCTTCACCTTTGCCTGTCCTTTATCCCTGATGGGAGGGGCAATCACCTCCCAGCCTTACTCCCGAGCCGCCCCGTTTGTTTCAGCTGCTCTTGCCTTCTGGCAGCTCTGCGCAAACGCACACTGGGAACAGGCTTCCCCGGGTCCTCTGCCTCACTGCTGCCAGATTCTGGAGGCTCCAAAGGCAGCACCCCACTCACAGATGGTCCTGGTTCTATCTCTGTATCGGATGCAGGACCCTCATCCAAGCCCTCCCCAGACTCCCGGACTGGTCCCCGTTCTTCCCCACTGTCCGATTCCGCTGCCGTCTGCATAGGCTGCCAGCGAACCACAACAGGTAGTCCTCGACTTAAAACAGTTCATTTTGTCACTTTTCGAAGTTACACAGTGGCACTGAAAAAAAGTGTCCACCTCTCACCCTTCTGACCATCGCAGCATCCCCGTGGCCACGTGATTTATCATCTGGATGCTTGATAACTGACTCATTTATGACGGCTGCAGTGCCCCAGGGGTCAGGGGATCCTCCTCTTGCGACCTCCTGACAAGTGAAATGACCGGGGAGACCAGATTCACTTTTAACAACTGTGCAACTTAACTTTTAACCACTGCAGTGATTCAGTTAGCGAATGTGATGAGAAAAGTTATAAAACGGGGCAAAACTCACTTAACAAAATCTCTCAACACAGCAACCTACATTTTGGGCTCCATAATTCGAGGACTACCTGTAGCCTCAGGGCAGTTTACAAAGCCCAAACTGGAGGGGCCTAGGCTATGTGACAGGATTTGTTGGAAAGAGGCGAGCCCTATCCCGATTCTCAGGCCTGCTTCTTTTGGTCTTGTTCTCTTGTGATCCCTTTCTCCACAATCCAGGCAAGGGCTGATAACAGACAAGACGCCTCTAAATGTGCTGGTCGAGCGACACTTGCCCTTGGAGTACAGGAAGCTGCTAATCCCGGTCGCCGTCAGTGGGAACAAAGTGATCCCTCAGAAGCTGAAGTGAGAAGCCGAACCGCTTGGATGCCAGAGACAGAACATTTCTCATTTGGAAACAAGCAGTGGAGGAAGATGATCTCCTAAGATTCCGGACTAGAACGGATGTAGATTTGTCCGTAAGACATAATCATTTACATGGCATTTAACTTAAGCATGGCACCTTCTCAGAAACAAGCTGAATTGCACTTATTGTGTCTCGGCTACTGCATACAGGAGGAACCTTGTTTTTCTGTCTGTATCAGGGTTGCAAGTTATATTTTGTACAAAAAAAAAAAAAAATGCAGCCCAAAACATTCTGTATTACCTTGGAATAAAACTATTTTCTCTGTACTCTTGTTCTCAAGCAAGCAAAAACCTGCGGTCTTATACCAATTTTACTAAACCTTTCCTTGTATTCTGAAGATATTGGACTTAGGAGACTTTTTGTAATTTTAGCTGTTTTTCTTTCATAAATAAACATCCAAACCTAAGTAGATGCAGTTCTTAAGTAAAGATCAATAAATCAAACTAGAGGTGATCCATGTCAGTCATGTAGCTATTCAATTATGCATATTCTGGGCAATGTCTGTCTTGATGAACAGATTTGTGTACATAAATGTATCCAACATATGCATTTTTACAGCCGAGACTTACATAGTAACTTTGGAAGAACAGCACAAAACGATTCTCATAACAGCAGGTCCCTTTTACATGCTATGGAGGGAAAGTATACATTGGATTAAAAAAAATGGACAAAATGATTTTTATTTTATCCCTAATAAGTTCATATCTGTTGTTCTGCAACATACTGAAAAAAGAATCCTCTAGCACAAAGCCCTTTGATGTCAGGCATAGGAACACTTATAAGGAGAAGTTTATTTAATAGTTTATTGCATCTTAACATCATTGTTTATATACAATGCATTTTTAAATCACTAATCTGGAAACCATTAATTTTCAAGATTTGGTAAGCTTCCCTTCCTTTTTCAGTGCAAACTGGAGCTTAGAAAAAAAAATACATTGAAATGCCAAGGGAAAAAAGTGGTTATGTTTTTTGGCTTTGTAATTTCATTTCACTACCTCTTCATTTCCTTGGCTGCCCTGGTTTCCGTGTTAGTAATGTAAACTTTTATACACTTTCTAGCCCCCAGCTGAGCTGCAGGTAGTTCAAAAGGGATAAATAAAACACAAAACTTCTGAAGTTGCATAAGGTTTAAATTATTTTAACATCCTGTCATTTTATCATTCCTTCATGGGTTCCAGTGGTTGAATATTTATGGGCACAGAGAAAGGAAATACTGCTATTTTTTTGCAAACAGACCTGAAGCTCTGCCAAATTCACCGTAAATGCTTCCTACACGAGTGGAAATTCGTTACCCAGCCTGAGAAATGGGATGCTCCAAATGGAACGTTTTGCGTGGATTTTCAAAAACATTTTAAAAGCACCTAGAGTGGGTTTTGTAATTATTTTAAGTTTTGTCTAAGCCTAAAGGAATCAACCGGGATCCCAGCTTTCTTCCTGGAGCTCCGTTATCAGCTGCGCTTCTGTTCTCAGTTCTACCTCAACAGATCCTATTATTTCAAGTAATCTCAGAGGGGGAGAGCCAGTGGGCTGAGTCAGATCCCAGAATGATCTGTTTCTTCAGCTGTGTGAGATGGGGACGCGTGCTGGGGCTGCCCCTGAGCCGCTCCTTGCCTGTGGATATCTCCCGTCATAAGCCTCTGCATCAGAAGTTCTACGGGAACGGAGACGGCAGGATCCAGCTGCTCTTTGGGGACTTGGAAGGCGTAAGAGAGGTAAGATTCCAAGGTCTGCTCGGTTAAGCCGTGGTCAATTATGCAGAAAGCTGCCCTCAGGTCATCAGGCCTCACATCTCTGGGAAGAAAAAGAGCAAAAGCCATTGCTGAAAAAAGTATACAAGGTATGTGAACTTATTGTGGAACCTGCATTCTAAATGCATTCTATTTTCCATTTAAAGTTGACACTGCTTGTTCCTCCAAGTTTATTTCACGCGCCCGGGGGTGGGATTCTACCTGGTCAGACTAGTTCTTTAGAACTGGTTATGAATCTGCGCAATTCGGAGAACCGGCAAATTGTACCACTGGATGGCCCCTCCCCTCCCCGTCCACTCACTCCTTATCTGGCGTACATGACATCAAATTTGCCTGCGTTTGGTAAGTTGCTATTTTTCCCTCCTGACCATCACCTGTTCTGTTGTGTTGGGAGGTTTAGATTACCTTAGAAAACAGGAAATCGTTGGATTTCTTGCTTTCTAGCTAATCTAAAAACAGAGCTGAACCTTCTTTAGGACTGAAGCTTCTATTTTTCAGTGCGGACTCAGGTAGCAGATTGCAGAATGGTAGATCTCTGAGTGATACTGTGAGCAACTCAATCTGCCTGCCTGCTTTGCCTGGTTTTGGGTAAAAGTTTCTCTTTTTTTTATAAAAAATTCAATATTTGCATAAATATTTATAATATTTACATACAAGCCATGCCCAGCCAGTCACATGACCACTAAGCCACACCCACAAGTTAAGCCACGCCCACAGAACTGGTTGTTAAGAAATTTGAATCCCACTCCTGCACACACACCCAAAACCCCCAGACAATTGAGATATAAAAATGTTGGAAGTCCTCAACTTACAACCCATCCGTTTAATCAGGGTTCAAAGTTACAATGGCACTGAAAAAAGGGACTTAAAAGGACTGGTTTTCTCACACGACCGTTGCAGCATCATCACCATGGTCCCGTGATCAGAGTTTGGATGCTTGACAACTGGGTCGGATTTATGACGGCTGCGGTGTCCTGGGGTCCTTTGGTTTCCTTTTGCAACTCTGACAAGCAAAGTCCATGGGGAAGCCAGATTCGCTTTGCCGCTGCATTGCTAACAACTGCAGTGATCCACTTAGCAACGGTGGCAAGAAAGGTCGTAAAAATAGAGCAAAACCCAGTTCACTGTCTTGCTTGCCAACAGGAATTTTAGGCTCAATTATGATTGTATGTCAAGGACTGCTTGTTACATGTTTAGCTTATTGACTGAACTAATTTTGCCCCTGTCTTTTTTTTCTTCTCCTTTTTTTAACTAGAAACGTCTAAAGATGAAAAATGCCTAGTCTGGATGCAGACAGAGGCTACTTGTAAATGCAAACAGAAGGCAAGTGGACAAGGAGATTACAATGAATCTGAATTTGGATGTACTTAAACCAGTGGGAGTCATGTCCCACTCGCATACTCACACCAAGGTTCCTAGTTCAGCACGTAGATCATTCAGATAGTTCTGTTTCTCGATCATATATTGGTTCCTAAGTTTTGTAATTAGGGGTTCTGTTTTCCCTTCCTCGTCCTGTAAATGAATGGAAGTGCTTTATCAGCGTGTAAGTTCATTGTTGCTATTAAGCATCTCCCTTCTCTCAATATTACAATGAGCTTTGGGTTTTTTCTCACTAAAAGAATACAGAGGACTCACTAGCTGGGTTTACATATTTTGAAAACTAAAGCTTGTTTAACCGTGCTTTACTGAATAAATTACAATAGGCTGGTTTCCTAAAACATGGATATGTGTCTTGTCAATGTGGAGCCCTTTGGCTTACCACCAGGAGGAAAATCCCACATGCTGACGTGAGAAAACTGAACAGTGAAATAATTAGAAGCAATATCATTTTATTTAATGAAATTGTTCTTTGCTCACCCACTATTACAGATTGGTCAAATTTTCCCCCTGCTTAGAAAGCTAAATAATATTTTATATGCTTTCTCAGTGTTGAGTTTTAGAAATCTAATCTTACATATCCCAATCTGTTTCCCCTCATAAATATTGAACTGCTTCTGATCCAATGATCCAACTTACCTCTAAGAATAACAGCTTGTATATAATAGCATTAACATTTGGCCTGAATCCCGCTGCATCAAGTAACTCCTGAATCTCTTCTTCTGTTTTTAGTGGGAAAGCTGTCCTCAAGGCAAGGCTGTTGCAGGAGAAAGAAAACATATATTAGCTTTGGACATCTGTCTGAAATTGAGGCACAACTTTTTTTAAAAAAAAAAGGGGGCTAATATTCCTTATGTTAGCTTTTTGAACAAGGGGGACAGACAACTATATTGAAATTCTTTAATATTTGAAATACGTTTCAATATCTGAAATATGTTTCAATATTTGAAATATGTTTCAATATTTGTAATATTAAAGCCCCCAAACATCACTGGGTATCAGTTTAAAATATATGCACATTTTTAGGGCTCCAATTCTGGTTTATTGTCCTGTTGCAGGTGCAGCTAGCTATACAGTGGCTCTTACGTGAATTGCTCCTCTGTCAACTGGCCAGTATTTTCGGTATCGGCAAGAGTTAGTTCTTTTAACAAGTTGTTAAGTTCCAGGAGGTGATAATGATATACTCCCTCATCCACCTGTGAAAGAGGTGGCAGAAACATCAAGATGTAGCAGGGTCACGTTTCCCCCATCCCCCCCTTGAGTCTGGATCATCAGTCCCGCCTTCCTTTGCCAGCAGGGTTCTCCAACCTTAGCAACTTTAAGTCGGGGAGGGACCAGCTCCCAGAATTCCCCAGCTAGCTTTGCTAAGGTTGGAGACTCCTGCTCTCTGGAGAATACCCAAGCAGTGACGTGTTCATTCAAGCATCTTTTAAAGAACCTTCAGGTGTTGAGGAGCTGGACATTGGGAAGCCCCATCAATAGCTAAAGTTTAGCAGGTCAAGCTATTTTTCTCCAGCGATGTGCAGAGTTAGGTGTTGTGGTTTGTGAGCAGCCTGTGCAGACAGAATCTGACAGTAGGGAAGAAAGGGGATCCGTCCGGGAGTCTGGACTGTACTTGGGCTGACCATTATGAAAAAAATCTTGCCTGAACTTGACTACACTGGGAAGGGCAATGAGAGAATAGTAAAGGAGGTCAGCAAAGGAGACCTTAGGAATTTTGGCACGCAATTCTCAGTTCCGGTTATGTAATGCTGTACTACACTTGATGTCAGCTTTGGAAGCCATATGGAGACCCGATGCTCCCACGAGACTGGGAAAGTGGGAGGGGAGAATTTATTGGAGTCTATCTAGTTAGACAGAATACCGTTCTTTTTCTGATTCAAGGTCAGGTCGAGTTGCGCGTAGTGAAAGGAAGTCTTAACTTGGGACGGATGGTGATTGGGACATGTGATGCGATGATGGCTTGCAGGGGGATGGATTTTGTAGTTTTTACTTATTGCAAGGAAGCCCGGCACTTTCAGATTCGGGATTCCCCCAGTTGTGCCAGT